AAACTTACATGGTTATGTTACTTCGTTCAGGTTGAACGAAAGCATAACAAGTGGAGAAAGATGTAAATGTTTATAAGTGCGGTTGTAAGATTTAGAAGATTTTCCAAAAGAATTTTAGTTTTATGTAATTCTTTTGTTCCTCTTCTATTGAGCTTACGATCTCGTCACTTGGGTAAAAAATGTTTTTTGTCATAGAAGTTATTTTTTTAAATAACTTCTGGGGAGAATATCCCAGACAAGAAACAAGGGAACTGATGAGGATTGGTGGCTCTTTCCGAAACCTAGGTATTCCCTGCCTTACCCCCTGGTAAACATTACCATCGTTCTCCACTCATAAACAAACGTTGTTTTTATAAAAACAACAATAATGGGATTTTGCCTGACGATTTTGCAACAACAAAATACTATGGTATCCCAAACAAGCAAGCCAAACACTGTTCTTTTTATAATTTTACTATCAAATCCACCTTCAATAAACATTTCAAATTTATATTCGTTTAAATAAATTTATTGTAACCCATTTCTACTTAAATATAAGATACACCTTGATCTGATATATTTTCTTTTATAAAATTTTGAAAATTAACATTCTTATAAAATATTCTAATAACGAAGGTATATAAACTAAAATTTAAGTAAGGTCTATCGTGGATTATCGATTACAGAACAGGTTCCTCTGAATAGACTAAAATACCGCCAATTTTTTTAAGTTTCAAGAACATAACTACTACTACCTAAGTAATTCCTTTTACATTTTAAATAATAGGGTATCTAATCCTAGTTTTTTATTACAATTTTTAAGCTTCAATTAATTCTTTAAAAAACAATTTATAATTTAAAAATTTCACCTAATAAATTATATTTTATTTTAAGTTAAACAACCGCGGCTGCTGGCACAAATTTAGCCAATACTCTTTAATATAACTATTTCTAGATTTCTCTAATTAATAATACTAATTATTGCGAATATAAATTAATTTATTTATTATTAAAATAAATAAAAATTCATGCAAAAATTTACATATAAATTAAACTAATAATAAATTTTTAAGCTAAAATAAAACTTTAAACTTAATTTATAAAAATTTTTAAAATTATTTGAAATTTAACAATTTAAATTAAAACATAAAAATTAGAATTATTAATTATTAATATTATTTAATAATATTAAATTGGTAATTACTCATGCAAATTTTGATTCAATTAATTAATCATTATTATAATTTTATTAAATGATAAATTTTAATAAATTTATTTATTATTAATATTTTACATAAATATACCCCTATATAATTTTATAAAATATTTATAATAATATAGAATAAATGTTATTTTTAACATAAAAAAATACCAATTATTATTATATATAATTACATTTTAATAATTATTTATTAAAAATGAAAAAAATTTTAAATATAATAATTTAATAAATAATTAAATATAGTGAACAAATAATTTATAAATATAAAATTTAATTATATTTTATAAAAATAAATCAAAATTAAATTTTTTTCACGGATTTGTCTAAAAATTGGTATTTGTTGGTCATAATGGGTTCCAGCTCCCGTGGCGAAACATTGCATGCATGGGTCCACGATTTGGTATAGCCCCATATAACGGTACCTCCCGATATTCGGTAATTTGATGGTTTTTGCACATTTTTTTACTGATTTGTCTAAAAATTGGTATTTGTGGGTCATAATGGGTCCTAGTTCGTGTGGCGAAACATTGTATGTATAGGTCCACGTTTTGGTATAGTCCCCATTAAACGGTACCTCCAAATATTCGGTATTTTGATGATTTTTGACATATTTTTTCACGAATTTCTCTGAAAATTGGTAGTTGTAGATCATAATGGGTTCCAGCTCCGGTGGCGAAACATTGCATGCATGGGTCCACGATTTGGTATAGCCCCATATAACGGTACCTCCCGATATTCGGTATTTTGATGGTTTTTGCCCCATTTTTCACTAATTTATCTAAAACTTGGTATTTGTGGGTCATAATGGTCATAATATAACGGTACCTTCCGATATTCGGCATTTTAATGGTTTTTGCCACATTTCTTCTAATGTTTCTTTACCCTAAGTTGGAGGGTATTAAAATTTTGGCCCGGCCGAACTTAATATTTATTACTTGTTTTTATACCTTCCACCAAAAAAGGTATGGAGGGTATATTAAGTTCGTCATTCCGTTTGTAACTCATCGAAATAATCATTTTAGACCCAACAAAGTATATATATTCTTCATCAGCGTAAAATTCTAGGAGGATTTAGCCCTGTCCGTCCGTCTGTCCGTCTGTTGTAATCACGCTACATTCTAAACGAATTAAGATAGGAAGCTAAAATTTTGCACAGATCTCTCTTTTGTCTGCAGGCAGGTCAAGTTCGAAGATGGGCTTTATCGGTCCACAATATCGTATAGCCCCCATATAACGGTACTCCCCCGATATTCGGTATTTTGATGATTTTACCCCCTTTTTCCAACGGAATTGTCTGAAAATCTACACAAGGAGTTCCTTGTGGGTACTTTATACCTCGGCAGAGAATTATCTATATAGGTCCACAATATCGTATAGCCCCCTGTTGGAGCAAAAGTATTTTATTATTTTTATTCTAAGTCTTATTATTTCATTTATTATAATTAACTTATTATTTTTATTATAATTTACAATCCCTATTTGTCTGAACTGACATCCCTAATTACATTGTAAATTTTTCAACCGGCATCCCTATTTCTTTTCTAATTGCAATTTTTGGCAATTCCTCTTTTAATCGCATTCTTCGATTCAAGGTCAATATTTGTCTCAACATAAGCCGGACAATGATCTTTGCTGCCTCCGTTACGTTATGCTTTGTTGTTGTTGTTAATTTCTCTATTTACCCTAATGAGTGGAAATGTAAACAAAGCAATAGCGTCAGCAGAGACAGTAAATATGATCAATGCTGGCTCGTTATGTTGACGATTACAAATCTATTTTTAGTATTGTTCCTTTTCTCTGCCGTGCTGCATTAAATCGATCTAACGCTAACATAATTTTCTGCCATGCTGCTAATACAAACAAAACGACCTAAGTCGCAAATTTTATAAATTAAAGTTTAAGAATATTAATAAGAATTAAGTGTCCCATCAAGAGCAAAACTATTACCAAATTATATTTAATTATAATTTTGATTAAATAAAATTGCCCCAGTGACAATAAATTTTAAAGAACATTTTATTGTGTTTTTTTTGCTCTGGCTCAGGCAGCCATTCTCCTACATTTTTATGGTGCCGAAACCCGGGACAAGTGAAAATTCCTGACTCTAAAACTTAAGAACAGTGTTCGTGAACTTTAATTAAACCAAAAGAAAATTACTTTACTCGGTCTTAAATTTGTGAAATAAAATAATAAATAATATGAGAAAGTTTAATAACTTTTAAAGAATAGTAAAAGTGAACTTCCGAAACAATTAAACTGCGATAAAAATCTTTTAAATAACTGTGAACATTTTATCAAAATATATGTCTGCCGCTATTCTGGGAAAATTCTAAATCTAAACAAACCTAAACCCTGAGAAAATTAATTTGACAAATTTAAAAGAATAATACTGTGAACTTCAATACTTACTCCTTTGTTGAACTTCTATACTTACCATTGTGCTGAACATCTATACTTACCACTGTGCTGAACATCTATACTTACCACTGTGCTGAACTTCTATACTTACCACTGTGCTGAACATCTATACTTACCACTGTGCTGAACTTCTATACTTACCACTGTGCTGAACATCTATACTTACCACTGTGCTGAACTTCAATACTTATACCTGTGCTGAAAAAGATATTTTTTTTGGAAAAAACAAAGTGAAGACTTCGTACTGCAACAATAGCTCAAACAAGTTTTGTTATATTTTGGTCCTGTCTCATACTGGTGAGAAATTGAATAGACATTTTATATAAATTTATGAACATTTGCGCCATTTTGACACATTTTGCTGCCTCAAATTTTAATCAAATTCAAAATGGAGGATTACTCGAGAGCAATTGAAGACCAAAGGATTTTAATGAGCCGTGTCCAACGCATAATTTCTGACTTCGATCAATTGTCTGTTGGTGAAAAAACGCGAGGTTTGTGTCAAAGTTGTCTCGACGAGATAGAAGAAATTAAGAAAACTTTTGAGGCCAACCATGAGCAGATTTTTGATGCGGTGCGTGACCGATCAATCAACACTGATGATGTCCCATATTTTCATGAAGATGTGCATTACTCATTTTTCAAAATCTATCTCAGTGGTAAAGGAAAGTTGCTTGATTTTATGGCCGAATATCGAGCTCCAAATTCTCCAAATATTCATTCTACTTTTCATGCCTCAAGTTCCTCTCAAAGAAACGATTCCATTATCCCAGACATTCGTCTTCCGAAAATCGACATTCCAATTTTTTCTGGTGACTATTTAAATTGGGTGTCATATAGAGACATGTTTATTTCGCTGGTTCACAACAACCAAAGCTTGTCCAATGTTCAAAAATATTATTTTTTGAAAAATTCTTGTCGAGATACCCCATTAACTATCGTCAACGAATATCCTGCCTCTGAGACAAGCTATGATCTTGCATGGACTGCATTGAGTAAAAGATACCACAACAAACGAAAAATAGCTGACACTGTGTTACGCAAACTACTTAGTATCCCGAAATCCAATGGTTCATGTGAAAGCATAAAAAATCTTCTTGATTCTACTAGAAATAGCTTGGCTCTTCTAAGCAGTTTAGGTGTTGATTGTTCCAATTGGGATCCGCTCCTGATTCACATTACTGTCAGTAAATTAGACCTGCAAACATGCAAAGAATGGGAACAATCATTAAAAGCTGCCACAGAAATTCCTAAAATTACCATCTTATACAACTTTTTCGAAACGACATTTCGCACATTAGAATCGATCTCTGAGTTTACTGAGTGCATTCCTAAGCCACATTTTAAATCAAACAACTCGAAATCGTATCAATCCCAAAGAATGACTCAACATCGTCGAATAAATATGGCGACGATAAACGATGAAAATTGCCCCTGTTGTGGTAAGCGTCATTTTCTTTATAAGTGTTTCAAATTTCTTGCGATGCCCTCTGCCTCGAAGCTTGAATTTATCAACTCCAAGAAAGTATGTCGAAATTGTTTAAATGTTGGTCATTTCTCGAGAGACTGTAAAAGTACAAGTCGTTGTAAATCCTGCCACCTCGCTCATCATACGATTGTACACAACGATTATACCTCTCGCAATACCTCAAGTTTCTCCGATGTTTCTCATAGCAGGAACGATAATGCAGCTTCTACTTCCGCCGTTGAGAATTCTAATGTCAACTTGTCTCTATTGAATACCACAGTCATGCCTCATGTTCTGTTAGCAACCATTCGTGTATTAGTGAAAAGCGAATTTGGAAACTTCAAATTAAGGGCCATTTTGGATCAAGGAGCCCAAGCATCTTTGATAACGGAAAGTGCTTCCCAACTTTTGCGGCTTCAAAAATACAACACTTTAGCTCAGATCACAGGTGTAGGTGGAAAAACAGTAATGGTTAAAAAATATGTTAAGTTTGCTCTTGCCTCTCACTACGAATCAGGTCAAGCATATGTCATGCCTTCCCTAAATAATTATTGTGCTGGTCCTGTGGACAGACATAAATTGCCGTCTTTAACAGAATTTTCTCTAGCTGACCCTGAATTTGATAAAAATGATCCCATAGATTTACTTATTGGTGGTGATTTATACGGAGACATACTACTACCGCAACAAAAGAAATTCGAAAAAGGCATTTTTCTTCAACTTACCCATTTTGGATGGATTGTTTCTGGCCCTACCGCTGAAATCTCTTATGCGCATTCCGTCAATGTTAATTTATGTTCCATAGACACCCAACTTAAGGCATTTTGGGAACAAGAAGAGCTCATAGAAACAAGAAAAATGACCCACGAAGAAAAAGCATGTGAAGAGTTCTTTAAGAAAACTTGTTCTCGTGGCTCTGATGGAAGATATACCGTCGCATTGCCATTCATTTCTCAAATACTTGGCAAATCTTCCCCTGTATTTAGTCATAGTGACTTCAGCGCTTTAAAACGTTTAAAACAAGTGGAGAGTAAATTCGTTAAAAACCCCAAATTTGCCTCAGAATATAGGAATTTTATGGATGAATATGAATCGCTAGGACATATGGTCAATATTGGTCCCTATCCTCAATCCATTCATCCTTACGGATATTTTCTGCCCCATCATGGCGTTATTCGGGAATCAAGTTCCACGACAAAATTACGTGTGGTTTTTGATGGTAGCAGCAAAATCCCTCTTTCTCCTTCTTTAAATGAGGAACTGTTCCCCGGACCTGCTTTACAAAATGACTTGCCGACAATCATCAATCGCTGGCGTCGATTCAAAATTGGTTTCAGGTCAGATTTAGAAAAAATGTTCCGTCAGATAAGAGTCATAGAAAACCATCAACATTACCAGCAAATTTTGTGGCGAAATTCCGATTCTAACATTCACGTATATAAACTGCAAACCGTCACCTATGGTACCTCCTCGGCTCCGTATCTCTCAATAAGAGTTCTTCATCAATTGGCTCAAGATGAAAACAAAACTTTCCCAGAAGCTTGTAAGATTTTAAAATCTGATACTTATGTCGACGATATTATTTCTGGAGCTGACTCTGAGTCCGAAGCAATATTTTTGCAAAAACAGTTGGTCCAACTACTCTCTGCAGGAGGATTCAATTTACGTAAGTGGACTTCTAACTCTCCAGAGCTTATGTCCCACATACCAGAAGACTTCCGTGAAAAGTCAAATGTTTTTGATTTAAATGGACCAAACTTGGTAAAGGCCTTGGGCTTATGTTGGAATACTGACAAAGATACGTTTTCATTTGAGGTTAATTTTCCCATAAAACCTGACGTCACAAAAGCTAGTCTTCTCTCTGATGCCGCCAAATTATATGACCCTTTGGGATGGCTAGCACCTGTCACGATACAAGCGAAAATTTATTTCCAAAAGTTATGGCTCGAAGGCATCGATTGGAAAGATGATGTTTCTGATACAATGAAATTTAATTGGCACTCTTACTTAAAACGATTAAAAGGCATCGAAAATATTGCCATTCCACGCTGGTTAGGCAGTTTTAAAGAATGTCCAGTCGAGCTGCACGGATTTTGCGATGCATCTACTTCTGCTTTCGCAGCCGCGGTTTATATCAAAATTTTGAATGATAATGGAGAAGGTGTAGTAAACTTACTACAATCAAAAACAAAAGTTGCCCCCCTAAAGGTTTTGTCTATCCCGAAGTTAGAACTATGTGGAGCAACGCTTTTAACAAAACTCATGCATAAAGTACACGATATGCTGGATCTCAACATTACTAATGTTTATTACTGGACTGATAGTATTACCGTTTTGTGCTGGCTCAGAGGAGAGTCGTCCAGATGGAACGTTTTCGTTGGAAATCGAGTCGGTGAAGTCCAACGACATTCTAACATATCTCAATGGCGCTATATTTCAACTCATGACAACCCTGCTGACTGTGCTTCCCGTGGTATTACGTCTACTGAGTTAGTTCAACATCCTCTTTGGTGGTCTGGTCCTCTTTGGCTCTCTCATCCTCAAAATCTCTGGCCCAAACAACCAGACAACTCTTATGACACTAATCTGGAAAAGCGGAAATCACTTAACGTTCATTCTTCTACTGTGTCTAAATATCCGGATTTATTAACTGATTACTCTTCTCTTACTAAGTTAACTCGAGTCATGGCTTATATTTTGAGATTTCTTCAATACAAACCTGGTTCTAAAATCCGACATAAAGGCTTTCTTCGAGCGACGGAATTGAATAAGGCGCTACAAAAACTTGTTATTTTGTCTCAAGACGTCGATTTCCCCGAGGAACTACAAATATTAAAGAAAGGAGGAAGCATTTATCCAAGAAGCAAAATTGCCCAATTGTGTCCCTTTATTGACGACGATGGCGTACTACGTGTTGGAGGCAGATTGCAAAAAGCTAAGTTTCACTATGACTTTAAATATCCTATGTTATTGTCCAAACACAGTCCTTTATCTCTCTTAATATTTACAGATGCTCATAAGAAGACACTTCATGGAGGTCTCATCCAGATGCAAGCCTATGTCACTAGAAGGTTTTGGATATTATCTGCCCGAAATCTTGCTAAAAATGTCCAACGCCAATGTATTACGTGCTTTAAGTACAAGGCCAAATCCCTGCAGCAAATAATGGGCAATCTTCCGTCTGTGCGATTGCAACCCACAAGACCTTTTAAACATAGTGGTGTGGATTACGCTGGCCCAATAACCATTAAGCAATCAACGGCCAGGAATTCTGTCACGACAAAAGGATACATCTGTCTCTTCATATGTATGGTCACGAAAGCTCTTCACCTTGAAGCCGTAACAAGTCTTTCTACTGATGCTTTCATTGCTGCCTTCAGAAGGTTCACCTCACGACGAGGGATGTGTTCAGACCTTTACTCCGATTGTGGCACGAATTTCATTGGCTCTAATAAGGAACTTAAGATTCTACAAAGAAGAAATACAGAATCGCTACCGGAAGATTTGGCAAACCTACTAGCTGACAATGGCACAAATTGGCACTTTATTCCACCGGCTTCCCCAAATTTTGGAGGACTTTGGGAAGCTGGCGTCAAATCCACAAAACATCATTTAAAACGCATCATGGAGCATCGCATTCTTACTTACGAAGAATTAGCAACTCTGTTGGCTCAAATTGAAGGATGTCTCAATTCAAGACCGCTATGTCCTATTTCGCCTGACCCTTCAGATTTCGAAGCTCTAACTCCATCTCATTTTCTCGTTGGAGAACCGATTTTATGTGTCCCAGAAGAAAATCTGTTAAATTTCTCCATTGATAGACTTTCCCGGTGGAAAGTTGTCCAACTCCTTAAACAACAATTCTGGAAACGCTGGTCCTCAGAATATGTAAACCGTTTGCAGTCTCGCCCTAAATGGCTCAAACCTCAAAAGAATCTTGAAGTCGATGATCTTGTCATTATTTTCGATGAAAGATTGCCTCCAGGCCAGTGGCCGCTTGCCCGAATTATCGATGTTCATCCTGGTACTGATGGAAAAGTAAGAGTTGTCTCATTAAAGTCGAATGGAAACATCTACAAACGTCCTGTCTCCAAAGTCGCACTACTTCCTCTTCAAGACTATTTCAATCCCCCACAAGGCCAACATAAGAGTTGCTGTGAGCAGAGGCATAGCATGGTAATCTCTAAAACCAAATAAAACACCTCATCATTCATCATGGTCAAGAACAGTTGTTCTTTGTGCGGGGGAATATTGGAGCAAAAGTATTTTATTATTTTTATTCTAAGTCTTATTATTTCATTTATTATAATTAACTTATTATTTTTATTATAATTTACAATCCCTATTTGTCTGAACTGACATCCCTAATTACATTGTAAATTTTTCAACCGGCATCCCTATTTCTTTTCTAATTGCAATTTTTGGCAATTCCTCTTTTAATCGCATTCTTCGATTCAAGGTCAATATTTGTCTCAACATAAGCCGGACAATGATCTTTGCTGCCTCCGTTACGTTATGCTTTGTTGTTGTTGTTAATTTCTCTATTTACCCTAATGAGTGGAAATGTAAACAAAGCAATAGCGTCAGCAGAGACAGTAAATATGATCAATGCTGGCTCGTTATGTTGACGATTACAAATCTATTTTTAGTATTGTTCCTTTTCTCTGCCGTGCTGCATTAAATCGATCTAACGCTAACATAATTTTCTGCCTTGCTGCTAATACAAACAAAACGACCTAAGTCGCAAATTTTATAAATTAAAGTTTAAGAATATTAATAAGAATTATGTGTCCCATCAGGAGCAAAACTATTACCAAATTATATTTAATTATTTTTATATTTGATTAAATAAAATTGCCCCAGTGACAATAAATTTTAAAGAACATTTTATTGTGCTTTTTTTGCTCTGGCTCAAGCAGCCATTCTCCTACACCCCCATATAACGGTACCCCCCGATATTCGGTATTTTGCTGATTTTACCCACATTTTTGAACGGAATTGTCTGACAATCCACACAAGGAGTTCCTTGTGGGTAGTTTATACCTCGGCAGAGAATTGTCTATTTAGGTCCACGATATCGTATAGCCCCCATGTAACGGTACCCCCCGATATTCGGTATTTTGATGATTTTACCACATTTTTCAACGGAATTGTCTGAAAATCCACACAAGGAGTTCCTTGTGGGTACTTTATACCTCGGCAGAGAATTATTTATATAGGTCCACAATATCGTATAGCCCCCATATAACGGTACCCCCCGATATTCGGTATTTTGATGATTTTACCCACATTTTTGAACGGAATTGTCTGAAAATCCACACAAGGAGTTCCTTGTGGGTACTTTATACCTCGGCAGAGAATTATCTATATAGGTCGACAATATCGTATATCCCACATATAACGGTACCCCCCAATATTCGATATTTTGATGATTTTACCTACATTTTTAAACGGAATTGTCTGAAAATCCACACAAGGAGTTCCTTGTAGGTACTTTATACCTCGGCAGAGAATTGTCCATATAGGTCCACGATATCGTATAGCCCCCATGTAACGGTACCCACTGATATTCGGTATTTTGATGATTTTACCCACATTTTTCATAGGAATTGTCTGAAAATCCACACAAGGAGTTCCTTGTGGGTACTTTATACCTCGGCAGAGAATTATTTATATAGGTCCAAAATACCGTATAGCCCCCATATAACGGTACCCCCCCCGATATTCGGTATTTTGAAGATTTTACCCACATTTTTCATCGGAATTGTCTGAAAATCCACACAAGGAGTTCCTTGTGGGTACTTTATACCTCGGCAGAGAATTATCTATATAGATCCACGATATTGTATAGCCCTCATATAACGGTACCCCCGATATTCGGTATTTTGATGTTTTTAGCCATATTTTTCAACGGAATGGTCACAAGGGGTTCTTTGTACACAAGGGGTTCTTTGTGAGCACTTTACCCACCGACAGAGAATTCTCTATATAGGTTAACGATAACGTATAGCTCCCATATAACGGTACCCCACGATATTCGGTATTTTGATGATTTTAGCCACATTTTCCAATCGTATTGTCTGAAAATCCACACACGGAGTTCCTTGTGAGTACTTTACACGCAGACATAGATTTGTCTTTATAGGTCCACAATATCGTATATCCCCCCATATATCGGTACATTCCTATATTAGATATTTTAAAGAATTTTTATTGGATTTTATTTTTTTGAAAATTTTCTAATTCGTTCCAAATGGTGGAGGGTATTCAAAGTTCGGCCGGGCCGAACTTTTTTTTACTTGTTCTCTTTTTCTCCTTTGTAAATACTTTTTATACCCTCCACCATACTATGGAGGGTATATTAACTTTGTCATTCCGTTTGTAACTCCTCGAAATACTCATATCAGACCCAACAAAGTATATATATTCTTGATCAGCGTAAAATTCTAAGTCGATTTAGCGATGTCCGTCTGTCTGTCTGTTGTAATCACGCTAGCTTTCGAATGAATTGAGATAGATGGCTAAAATTTTGCACACATGTTTATTTTTCCAGTAGGCAGGTTAAGTTCGTAAATGGGCCATGTAGGTCCACGTTTTCATATAGCCCCCATATAACGGTACCTCCCTATATTCGGTATTTTGATGATTTTAGCGACATTATTCATCGGAATTGTTTCAAATTTGGTATTTGAAGTTCAAAATGGATACTACACCCTAAGACGGAAAATTGTCTGTTCAGATCCACGTCTTCGTATAGCCCCGATATAACGGTACCTCCCGATATTCGGTTTTTCGATGATTGTAGCGTCATTATTCACCGGAATTGTTTCAAATTTGGTATTTGAAGTTCAAAATGGATACTACACCCTAAGACAGAAAATTGTCTGTGCAGGTCCACGTCTTCATATAGCCCCCATATAACGGTACCTCCCTATATTCGGTATTTTGATGATTTTAGCGACATTATTCACCGGAATTGTTTCAAAATTGGTATTTGAAGTTCGTTATGGGAACTACAGTCTGTGACAGAAAATTGTCTGTGCGGGTCCAGGTCTTCGTATAGGCCCCATATATCAGTACCTCCCTATATTCGGTATTTTGACGATTTTAGGTACAATACCCACCGAAGTTGTTTGAGATGTGGTATTTGAAGTTCGTAATAGATGCTACAGTCTGTGACAGAAAATTGTCTATGCTGGTCCAGGTCTTCGCACAGCTCCAGTTTAACGGCAGCTCCTTATATACGACATTTTGATGATTGTAGCTACATTATTCGCCGTTTATTTCTAGTTTCGAATTTGCTTAATGGCTTATGACAAACAATGCCTATGTATGTCCACGTCGTATAGACCCCAATATAACGGCTATATTCGGTATTTTTAAAATTTTAACAGAATTTTTTAAGGATTTTATTTTTTAAAAATTTTCAAATTCGTTGCAAATGGTGGACGGTATTAAAAGTTCGGCCCGGCCGAACTCACTGCTTTTTGACTTGTTGTTATTCTTTTCTTGTAGTAGCCATATTCACTGGGTTAAAACGAGTGATAATTAGCGTTGTGTTGTATTGATACTTCTTGCTTTTTTCCCCTCTGCCTTGCCTAACTGTTGCTCAGCTGGGTAGAGGGGTGAAGTCTGAGGTTCTTGTTATTTTATATTAACAAATTAGTTGTTAATTTTTACACCCTCCACCATACTATGGAGGGTATATTAACTTTGTCATTCCGTTTGTAACTCCTCGAAATACTCATGTCAGACCCAACAAAGTATATATATTCTTGATCAGAGTAAAATTCTAAGTCGATTTAGCGATGTCCGTCTGTCTGTCTCTCTGTCTGTCCGTCTGTCTGTTGTAATCACGCTATCTTTCGAATGAATTGAGATAGATGGCTAAAAATTTGCACACATGTTTATTTTTCCAGTAGGCAGGTTAAATTCGTAAATGGGCCATGTAGGTCCACTTTTTCATATAGCCCCCATATAACGGTACCTCCCTATATTCGGTATTTTGATGATTTTAGCGACATTATTCACGGGAATTGTTTCAAATTTGGTATTTGAAGTTCAAAATGGATACTACACCCTAAAACGGAAAATTGTCTGTACAGGTCCACGTCTTCGTATAGCCCCCATATAACGGTACCACCCGATATTCGGTATTTTGATGATTTTAGCGACATTATTCATCGGAATTGTTTCAAATTTGGTATTTGAAGTTCAAAATGGATACTACACCCTAAGACAGAAAATTGTCTGTGCAGGTCCACGTCTTCATATAGCCCCCATATAACGGTACCTCCCTATATTCGGTATTTTGATGATTTTAGCGACATTATTCACCGGAATTGTTTCAAAATTGGTATTTGAAGTTCGTTATGTGAACTACAGTCTGTGACAGAAAATTGTCTGTGCGGGTCCAGGTCTTCGTATAGGCCCCATATATCAGTACCTCCCTATATTCGGTATTTTGACGATTTTAGGTACAATACCCTCCGAAATTGTTTGAGATGTGGTATTTGAAGTTCGTAATAGATGCTACAGCCTGTGACAGAAAATTGTCTATGCTGGTCCAGGTCTTCGCAAAGCTCCAATTTAAAGGCACCTCCTTATATACGATATTTTAATGATTTTAGCTACATTATTCACCGTTTATTTCAAGTTTCGAATTTGAATATGGTAATGGCTTATGACAAACAATGCCTATGTATGTCCACGTCGTATAGACCCCAATATAACGGCTATATTCGGTATTTTTAAAATGTTAACAGAATTTTTTAAGGATTTTATTTTTTAAAAATTTCCAAATTCGATGCAAATGGTGGAGGGTATTAAAAGTTCGGCCAGGCCAAACTTACTGCTTTTTAACTTGTTGTTATGTATTGAGTTTTTAGGATAACTTAGTCATAGGCTGTTTTTATGTTGCTGTATATTAATATAAGATTTTGGCCAGGTTGGCTTATGTATATTGAATTGTATGAAATAATTGAAATTTAAAAAATTCAAAACGGATCAAATTTAAACATCTTTAAGTAATCGATGCTGGACATACGCAGAGGAGTAAATCTCAAGCTCCGCCCGAAAGCCGTTTACCTAAAACAGCATAAAATTTAGAAACCCGAACAGAATGTACTGAATAGTGTACAGGAACTATAATATCACTTTGGCATTTTGAAAAGGTTGCAGTGTAAGCTATAATTTAG